GCACCAGGTTGGGTAGGGGGAGGCGGCACATAGTCAGGGGCACAGCACCAGGTTGGGTGGGGGGAGGCGGCACATAGTCAGGGACACAACACCAGGTTGCTCATCCAACAGGCTCCCCTCTGCCCCCCACCCCTTACTGGGGCCACCTCCACAGGGCTGCAGGGTGCAACTCCTGAGAAGTCCCAGGGCAGGGGGCACCACTGTCCTTGGGCGGGGCGGGGTGGTGGTGGTGGTGGTGGGGTGTCCTCACAGCTCCTCCTGCGACTCCAATGGCCACCCCCACAGGAGACGCTGCAGGGCCACCAGGCCTCCCACAGAGCTCACACCCCAGCCACTGGGAAGGAGAAGCCGGAAGCTGTAGGTGGTGACCAGGAGAGACTCTTGGAGCAGAGCCAGAGAATAGGCAGCCAGAGAGGACCCTGTCCCCTAGGCCCTGGCTAGGCAGTACTCAGGGGAACTCCTGCCGATGGAATGGCCCAGGGAAGGTCAGGGCACAGCTAGATCCCTGGAAGGAACTGGGCCTGGGAGCGGGGCATAGGAAACCTGTGGTGGCAGCGAGTGGAAACGGGAAGGGAAGGGGCTGGCAGATGAGGAGGTGAGATGTGGTTTGAGGAGCCGCCTCCAGTGTGGAAAACCCCTCTGCTGCACATGGATGGGCAGGGGACGGTCCTCAGGCCCACAGGCCTACAGAAGCCCACCCTTAACCATCCCTCCCTTGGGTCCTCAGAGTACCTTCTCAGGCAGGTGACTACTATTTCAGGTTCAGGCTTCACCCAGGACCCCTCGGGAAGGGACTGGCTGGGTTCCTGATGGAGGGTAGGGCCTGGCTCATCTGGGCAGGCGTGAAGGAAGCAGGGCCAACTTCAGACATAGTCAGGTGGACAGCTGCCCCCAAGCAAGGGTGCCTGGAGCAGCTGCCTGTGCTGAATGGCCTGGCCTGGCCCACAGCTCTGGCTGCAGCTGCTCCAGCCAGACCAGGGTGCCAGTACACAGTCCACTGCAGGGTGGGGCAACATGGTCAGGGCAGCCAGGGGCAGGCATAGCTGGGGGGCTTCACGTACCGCAGTTGTCTTCGTCAGAGCTGTCTTGGCAGTCGGGCTGCAGGTCACAGCGCCGAGAGGCAGGAAGGCACTCCCACTGCTGCAGTGCAGCTGTCGTGGGGAGCAGATGGCCGGCAACCCATGAGGGCCATCGTGGGCACCAGCAAGGCACAATGCTCACTGCCCAGGAGCAAGGAAGGAGTCTTTGGTTCCTGGCTGGAGGACAGATGGCCCCTCCACCCCACGGTCAGAGAGATAGAGTGAGGTGACCAGAGGCCTGGCTTCCCTACTGCAATGCCTAGTGCCACCTAGGTCCCATGTAGCTTTCCCTCTGCTCATCAAAGGCCCTCGGGGTGTGCACAGAGACTGGCATGGCCACAGGAGCAGCTGACCTCTCTGGCACCCTGGCCCTCCTTTGCTTTCTCCTTTGAAAGACTTGGGAAGCCTTTGCCATGGATCTTGGACACCACATTTTACTTTGACTAAATGAAAGGATGGACAGCTGGATGGACAGCTGAGTGACGGACAAATGAACACATGAATAGAAGAATAGGTAAATGGGTGGACAGACAGATAAATTAGTGCAGATGCATCAGTTAACGAACAATGGCTGATTGAGAGGCTCATGGATGGATAGATAATAGGACAGACCCCAGACAGGGTCATGGATGGGTAGATAATAGGACACACCCCAGGCAGACTCATGGATAGATAATAGAAGAACGGACCTCCAGACAGGTTCATGGGTGGATAGATAATAAGAAAGACCCCCAGACAGGCTCATGCATGGGTAGATAATAGAAGGACAGACCCCCAGACAGGTTCAGGGGTGGATGGATAATAGGACAGACCCCCAGACAGGCTCATGGGTGACTGGGCAGACTGGTGGCCTCTCTGATGCCCTTGTCCCCATCCCAAACACATGCCTGTGTTGTTTGCATGGCTCTCCCTCTCTGCTCCCTGCCACCTAACGTTTCTCTATGCCCTTTCCATGAAACCAGAAATGGGGCCCCGGGGACTCCAGCCTGAGACCCTCTGGCACCACAGCCCAGGCTAATGTCCACCTTGGTCACTGCAGTGCTACTCATCGGAGCCATCCAGACAGTCCTCTTGCCCCTCACACAGCTGCTCCGGCTCCACACAGCCTAGCATCCTGCAGTTCACCTGCCCTGGGCCACACTGTGTGGAGGGGAAGGTCCGGGGCGCACAGTCGGGCCTGCCATCACCATGTAGTCAGTGGTATGGCTCGTACACTACCTGGGGGCCCCATTCCAGACTCATGAAGGACCCTCTGGGCACCTGGTCAATAAGGGGACCTGGAGACCCACCCCTGTCTGTTAAGAGAGACTTTGGGGGCCACTCCCAGAGGGTCATAGTTGGGATCACACAAGCTATAGAGGTACCAGGCTGTGAAACCCTATCAGTGGTGGCCACGTTAGCCATCTCCTGGGGGGAGTGCCCCAACATAGTCATCGTTTCTTGTTGGAGCGCCCTGGTCCCTGGCCAGGAAGTGGTGGCTGCTGGCACTGTGGGCTCTTCAGAGCATGAGCGAGGGGACTCAGAGGTTGGGGGTGAGCCTGCTGGCCCCTTCTCTGTGGGAACATTGGTGGGAGGAAGTCCATGGGACACCCCTCAACACCTTCTAGAAGGGTCCCTCACCCTAGGAGATGTCACAGGCCCAGGACCAGAAGCTTGGACTCCTGGACAGCGGTGATGCTTACAGGGGTCTGGAGCCAGTACACACACCTGTGGGGGATTCTGGTGATTCTTGCCAGGTACACCAAAGCTCAGTCCCTGCCAGGCCCTGAGAGGAGGGGGTTAGCAACCACATGGGCTACCACCTTGCCCACATACCCCTCCCCCTGCCCAGGGCAGAGGTGAGCAGTGGCCTACTCCAAGATACGTCCACCCCCTCAGACACATGCTCACACTGAACTCACACATTTGCATACGGTTAAACTCAGCAAGTGCTGGTGCATCACCCCCCTCCACAGCAGCTCACCTCTCCAGGCCATGCAGGTGAGGGGCTCAGGGTCCTTGTTGTGGGGCGCACCCTGGGAGAGGAACCACCAAAGGGGTCAGGCTGCTCCCCTTAGAGCCCCCACCCTGCTCTGAGCTGCCCCAACCCCCATTCCTGCTTTGGCATTCTGTATTTCCAAGCTGGGCTAGGGCGTCTTGGGGTGAAGGCACTGCGACACCCTCTATCCCTCCAGGGCTCCTCCTGTCTGTGGCCCTGCTTGGTGGGGCATTTGAGTACCTGCCGCCGCCGGGCCCGCAGCCCTCTTCCTCCAAGCCGTCTGCGCAGTCAGCCATACCATCGCACGCAACCCGCCTCCGGGCACACTCACCGGTTACAGCTCCCTAGCATGCTGGAGGGCCTGGACGCCAGGCTGGGTCTCCCAGGCTCGCCCTTACCACCCTACAGCCCCGCCCAGGACCTCCCAGCCTCTCCTCTACCGGGCTCGCGGCCCCGCCCAGCCTTCTGGCCCCGCCCCTACCCGGCTAGCAGCCCCGCCCAGCCGTCCAGCGCCCCTTGCCTGGCTCGCAGCCCAGCAGCGCCACCCGCGGAGGGGTGCCGTCTTGAGTGCCCCGGAGCCAGACCCGCACGTGCTGCGCCTGCACCATCCGGCCGAAGGTTTGCACAGAGGGGCTCCCGGCGTCCCGGCTCCCAGGTGAGGCCGGCATCATAGGGCTCCCGCGTCCTGGGCCGCATCCTGCTCGACCCGCACTCCCCACCCCAACTCGGGCCCTTGTCTGCTGCGCGGGGGACCAACTTCAGCCGTCTGTCGGGCGGAACTGGCTGCGGTTACTTCTGAGGCCACCTGCACCACTGCGATGCAAAGTCCTGCCCACTCACCCCGCGCGCGCACCTGCTCCTGCGTCGGGGCCCGCCCTCTCTCCCGGGGGCGGTACCTGAGGCGGTGGCGGGCGGCCTAGGGACAGAGCTGGGGGTGCGCGGTTCAGGCTGGGCCTCCCCAGGGCTGCGCTCAGTGGTAGCTGCCAGGGAGGCAGCCCAGGCCGGGTGTTCCAACCGCAGGCTCCCCTGGTGGCATCCAGCCAGACTCAGTAGTGAATAGCAGGGATCTGGGGATGGGGAGGTGTGGGGTTAAAGGGAAGAGGGAACCCCACAAAACATCACAGGTTCGGTAGGTGATAACAAGAAACATAACACTGATAACAGTGATAACAAGAAAAGATTATAGTAAAGTCATAGCATGAGAGTTAAAAGATGGAGTCAAGTAATGGAGTCAGACGCAATTCAGGGTAGCATTGCTCACCTCAGCCCTATTTGATGGTCCTCGTGGAGGGGACTTAGCCGTCAGAGTAGAAGCAGCTGCCCGGTCCTCCTCATCCACCCTCCCGAGAACCAGGGAGCCTCCTTATTTATTGCTAACCACGCATCATATCACTTTAGGGGGATCTGATTACAGAATCATACATCACAGAAAGGGGCAGTACAATCCATCCTTGAACAAGTTTGATCACTCTGGTGTCTCATACAATAAAACAGACAATTACTATCCTGGGAGGCATGCAAGCCCCCTGATAACAGACACTAACCTACGTCATAGGGAGGGGTAGCAACATAGGTAATACAAGCAACAGGAGGGGGATGACCTAGGGGTGAACGCGCAATAGAAAGAGGAGGGAATAGGGGGGCATGTGTGGCAAGATGGGTGGACCCCTGGACTCGATAAGCTTAGTCATCCTAGAGTGGTCCCGGGCTTGCCTTCAGGCACTCCTTCAAAGGAACAATGCCAGAAGGACTGGGCCCTACTTAGGGTGAGTCAGACTATACAGTCTGGTTGCTCTAGATGGCTGATGTTAAGGAGAATAACCTCTGACCTACTTTCGCTGACCGCCTAGTGTACAGTCATACTCAAGCAGCTAAGTCTGGTACATATTATTTGGGAGACAGCTTAAGAGAAATCTTTCTGTTCCTCACAGGGAGGGGTGGGGGGGCATGCTGAGTGGGACAGAGCCTGCTGGGCCCCAGTGGGAATTGAGGGCTTGAGGGCACCTAATTGAAGGTCTTGGGGAACCCTTGGTGGAGTGGACTGATAATGCAATGTCAGCAGTTCAAAACCACCAGCTGCTGTCACAAAGAAAAATGAGACTTTCTCCACTAGTAAGACTGACTCTGCAAGCCAGGGGTGGTTCTTCCCTGCCCACAGCGTCTCTATGAATCAGAATGGACTCAATGGAAGTGAGTTTGGTTTATCTAACTGCC